ATTTTTAAACATATAAGCTCATCCCGATGTTACAATTATCAAGAGCTTTCATTTGAGTACCCACATGCATTTTTATATATATTTTCATATTTATATGTATAAAATATATAAATATATAATATATATTGAAAATTGATGTGGGTACTCAAATGAAAGCTCTTGATGAGCGTAACATCGGGATGAGCTTATATCTTTAAAAACGTCAATAGTTGAGTAAGTGCAGCGCAATTTAACAAAAGTCATTATTTAATAAAGCAAAATTTTTTTTATTTATAGTTTACAAATCACGGCAGTCACATAGTGACTGCAAGGTTGTTAGTATTGTATTTATATACCAAATTTTTTTAAATTTTGTGTAGCAATTCTAACTTAAAAAATTGACCAGTCAAAATAAAATATTTTTTCTATTTTAATGTTGACAATACGGGAAATGACGTACATAGATGTCGCATAAGTAAGCGCGTAATTTAAAATGTAATAGTTCGTAATCTTCTTAAAAATCCTTTTATTTCTTCTCTTTATTTTAAATCCAAAAAACAACAAAAAAAGAAGTAATAATAAGTTGTTTACAAAATAAGCAATTGCAATAAATAGTAACAATAAAATCTTTTCCAGAATACCAGAAACACAACTAGCAGAACGATTACACGGTACAGAGCGTTATTACACCGATTCCCGAATGCCATTACCGATGATGGTCACCAGCGGAGTTGGCGTGGGAGGAATGGGAGGACTGGGAGTGGGTGGTGGTCCAGTGGGTGGAATGAGTGGCGTAGGAGTGGGGGGTGTAGGGATGGCAGGAGGAATTAACTGCGGAGTCGGGGTACCGATGCACCACCAAATGCCGATCCACCACCCGGGGGTGCGCGTCGATCTCGGGAACCACATGATCGGCGCGGACAGCCTCCACACTATTTTATCGACCGAAAACCTCCGAAATATACCGACGAACAAAAGCTACTATTACGGCTGACAAGAAGACGGGGATGTCCCTCTCCAGCACCAGGGGCGTCCCCTCTCGCTTAGCCACGTACACCAAGTCAGTACCCGAAAGTATTGTTTTTAAAGTTTAATATTTAAAATTAATATTATTATTATTATTAATTAATATAGTAATAATAACTGATACATTATTGACTAATAAATGGATTTTTATTTTTATCTTACAAACACAAGAGCACCTGGTTATGAGACAGTGTAAATATTTGCAAGTATGCGTGCCTGATTTATGTCCAATTATAAATTATTATCATTAATTATTAATGATCTGTATAAAAAATATTGTAACTTGCGATGTTATAAATGTCGATGTATTGTCTATTGCTACTTATAATTAATTTTTAAAAATAATTATTCCAAGACCGACAATATTTATTTATAAATAATACTTATGTTAATTTAAGTAACTTTGCCCTTTGATAATTTTAAAATTAGCATGCAATCATTTGATTCACGTCCAACTTTTTTTTTAGTTTTAAAAAATCGATTTTAAGGTAAATGATAAAAATTATCGATAAATTATTATGTTTGCAGTTTTTATCAATAAACAATTAAATAAATTTACTTTAAATATAATTAATTATATTTTAGATATTAAATTTTAAGTATAAAAAAATTATTAAAAAAAAAAAAAATTATTTTTTTTTAATAAAAAAAAATCATTTTTTTTAAATAAAAAAATTACTAAAAATTTATTTTTTTTAAAATATAATTTATCATATTTTTAGACACTAAAATTTTAAGTATAAAAAAAATAATTAAAATTTTTTTTTTTTTTTAATTTCATTTTTTAATGAAAAAATAATTTTTTTAAATAAAAAAATTATTGTTTTATAACTAAAAAATTAATTTAAAAAAAAAAAAAAAATTTTACATCGCAATTCTTTAAAAAAAAAATATTGTCGCTCTTAATAAAAAAATGTTTAATTAAATTGTATTATATTATGAGTGAGTCAGATGATGAAGGATTAATCAGGGTAGTTGGAAAAATGATAAATAAAAAAGTATCGATCTATACGACTGTACATTTACTGCCAAAGATTTTTTTATGCCTAAGAACGACTGTACAGAAAGGCTTCTTAATCATGTAAATGTAAAGTGAGTTTGTAAATAAAATATGTAATGTATAATTATTTAAGTTAATGTTTTAATGAGAATGTATGACACTTGTCGAATACTGCCGTAGATTATTAAATTTTTATTTCTTTTTAGTTTCATTTACTAAGTAATATTACTTAAGTTAAAATAAAAGTTTACAATCCGAGATTTTGAATTTAAATTGAAGAAAAGTTTCTTTAATAAATAATTTTATATGTACTTTGTCCTTTAATAGCTTAGAAAATTAGAACAAGGATTAAGAATATTTGATAATTAATTTATAGCAGAAACTTCGTTTAGATCTGAATTATTTTATTTATAATTTATTTTTATTCAATGAAGTAATATTTGAAAATAATAAGCAGCTTATTTTTGTTGATAAAAAAATTTTCAGATTATTATTATAAAAATAATATTTCATTTATGACTGATGCAAAATGCACTGTATCTAAAATCAGGATTTACATTAACATTTTTAAATTAATTATTGTCATTATTCATTATCATTTTTGTGAAAGAAAACGTAATGTGCTCATAATAATTCAATTGCAAAGCAGCTTACCGATTTACTTGCGGCCATTAGCGGTCGAACCTTGAATTGTACATTTTGCTTTTATATATTTAATCACTTCCATACTACTACTACTGTATTAAAGAAGTATTATCTGCGGAGTGCCTGATACTTTGACAGTGTGACAAAAATTATATTATTTTTTTAGGAATTAATCAATGATAAAAAATCATTTTTTTTTTCTCTGGAAAAATTCAGTGAATTTGTAGATAACTAACTCAGAAATTGAGGTTGCATTTTTTTTATCAATTCACTTTGAGTTGACAAAAAATCTGGAATATTTGAGTTAGTTACTGAGTTTTAAATAAAAAAAAAAAAA